TTTAACAAATATCAAGGGTATTATTTTACACCAATAAATCATTTAAAATAAATTCTTAATAAGTTAAGGAAATATTTTATAATTTATTGTATAAAATAAAATAACCCAAACACACATAATAAATTTAATGATTAAATCAATAAAATATCAAAATTATAGGTTACTATTAATAAATACTTAATATGCAAAGTACTATTTTAAAACTAAAGGATTAAAATTGTAAAATATCAAAATTAAAAATCCTAATTCTAAATATCATGAAATCTAGGTATTATTAGTGTAAATAAACCCTAAATGGCTATTTGAGATTCAAATATAAATAATTAAAATATCAAGGACTAAATATGCTATTTACCCTATATATATGTAAATATACAGACAATGACTAAAATAAAATAAAGTAACATGCAAAACAAAATTAAAATACACAAAAAACTGATTTAGTGACTAAAATGCTAGGCTTACAAATTACAGGAACCACAAACATGATTTACGCATTTATAAAATTACGCAGAAGCCCCTCCCCAAAACGATATAGTTTTAGGTATAAATAGGCCTTAAATGACCATTTTTCCTCATTTTTCTCTTTTGCTTCTCTCTCTAGGGAGAGAGAAGCTCTCAATTCTCTCTAAACTCCCTCACCGGAGGGAGAGCAGGTCATCGCTGGGTACTATTCTGGCCGTCAGTCACTATTCACGATGGTAGAAAAATATAAAAATGCCCCAAATCGTAAATCGAAACACCCTAAACCCAAAACCACCCTCATTTTTCCTAAAAAAACTTCAAATGACCTAGATCTAAGATTTTACCTTCAGTAAAAATGATTTCCGGCGACGTTTGAACTTTGACAAAGGTATGTTTCTTCCCCCTTTTGTTTTCTTGCTTTCGAATGGCTACTGTTGTTTTCTTTTCGTGTTTCTGTTGCTTCCTCCCCTCTTCTTTCTCCGTCTTGTTCTCTGTTCGTTGTTTTTCCTCTTTGTTGCTTTCCTTTCTTGTTCTTTCTTGCAGGTTTTCAAGGCTTTTTATAGGTCTCCAGTGGTGGTGCTTGTTCGGTGAGTCACCGGATATACGATGGTGACTCAGAGGGATGGCAAAAAAAATTGAACCCGTCGGGGAAAACCGAAAACCGAATTAAATGAGTCAGGTTCGGGGATGATAAATGTGGACAGGGACAGGGACAGGGATGGGAAAAAATTGAATTTTTTAAACGGGGACGGGTTTGGTAATCCCCGCCCCGATTACCGGCCTGATACCCGGCCCGATAAATATTAAAAGTAATTATTATATATATATATATATATATATATTAATAAATTTAATTTAAATTAATATATATATATAAAGCAGATTAGAATTTAGGAGAACATATCTCCGGCCTGATTACCCGAATTGCTTTATTTTTATATTTTGGATGCATTTGGTGGTGTTTGGCGTTTCAAGTAAGTTTAGATACGATAATGACATTATTTTTTAAATAAATCGTGTCATCGTGTGAAATTTAAATGGTAACGGGGATCCCGCGGTGAAAAATAACCATATAAGGTAAACGGGGATACCCGTTTCCCCACGGTTTTTTAAGCGAGGACGGGTATGAGGTTTTTAAACGGGGACGGGGACGAGGGGATCAATTCTCAGCCTAAAACTGCCCCGTTGCCATCCTTAGTGACTCACCATAGAGCAAAGAGGTGTGCGGCTAGTTTTGCTTCTTCTGGAGTCTACGGTGCGACGTTGCAGTCACTGTTTGGAACACCTGGAGGCGGCGGCCGGAATAGATCTAGGGTTGGTGAACCCTAGAGTTTCTGCTAGATTGGATCTGGACCGTTGGATCTGGAGAGATCCAACGGTTGAGGATGTTGGCGGCTGGAACTGTGTAAAAACCCTAATCGGGTTTGGTTCATCTGAGCTTGAACTTGTAAAATGGGTCTGGGCCTGGATCTGCTTATTTGTTGGGCCTCCAGTTTGTAAATAAATTCGGCATTCAGGTTGTATTAATTGTAATATAATAATATTAATATAATAATAATATATAATAATAAAAATACGGGACGAAAATGACTGTCGACGGCTGCCCCTCTTTGCTCATTTTTATATTAACAAGAATAGAGCAAAGATAAAAAGACAAGCAATTTTTGTCCAGTAGACTTCATACTTTGATGGGAAATTCGTTCCACTACTCTTCCGTAGAGATCAAACTTTGATCTGTTCTTGCTTCACTACTCTTTTTGTGAAGGCTATGATGGCTTTGCTTCAGTACTCTTCCGTGAAGGCTAAGATGGCTTTGCTTCACTACTCTTCCGTGAAGGCTAAGATGGATTTGCTTTACTACTCTTCCGTGGAGGCTAAGATGACTTTACTTCACTACTCTTCCATGAAGATCGAAATTTGATATGTTCTTGCTTCACTACTCTTCCGTGAAGGCTAAGATGACTTTGCTTCACTACTTTTCCGTGGAGGCTAAGATGGATTTGCTTCACTACTCTTCCGTGAACACTAAGATTTATTTGCTTCATTACTCTTCTGTGGAGGCTAAGATGACTTTGCTTCACTACTCTTCTATGGACTAAGATGACTTTGCTTCACTAATCTTCCGTAGAGGCTAAGATGGATTTACTTCATTACTCTTCCGTGAATGCTAAGATGGATTTACTTCACTACTCTTCTATGGAGGCTAAGATGACTTTGCTTCACTACTCTTCCGTGGAGGCTAAGATGACTTTGCTTCACTACTCTTTCGTGGAGGCTAAGATGACTTTGCTTTACCACTCTTCCGTGAAGGCTAAAATGGCTTTACTTCACTACTCTTCCGTGGAGGCTAAGATGGCTTTGCTTCACTACTCTTTCATGGAGGCTAAGATGGCTTTGCTTCATTACTCTTCCGTGAAGGATAAGATGGATTTGTTTCACTACTCTTCAATGGAGGCTAATATGACTTTTCTTCACTACTTTTCCGTGGAGGCTAAGATGACTTTGCTTCACTACTTTTCCGTGAAGGCTAAGATGACTTTGCTTCACTACTCTTCCGTGAAGGCTACGATGACTTTGTTTCACTACTCTTCCATGGAGGCTAAATTTGAAATAAGAAGAATTTGTTCCACTACTCTTCCGTAGAGACCAAATCTGAAATAAGAAGAATTTGTTCCACTACTATTCTGTGAAGATCAGACTCTAGGTCGATTTGATTCGTTGCTTTTCCAGGATGCCAGGAACACCAAATCTGACCTAATTTACTTTATTACTTCATGAATATCAAATTAAAAAGACTGATTTCTCTTTACGAGAAAATCAAGGATTGGCTCCTCTAGGGAATCAGAAATAATATATGTTAACTTCTCTTCACGAGGAAGTCAAAAATTGACTCTACTGGGAAGTCAGAAATAATAAAGGTTGTTTTCTCTTCACGAGGAAGTCAAAGATTGACTCTAGGAAACAATATTAAGTTTCCTAAAAAAACATGTTCCCATAAAATCACGACTGGAATTCTAGGGAAAATATCATAATAAAGACAAAAATTTATCCACACATAAAAATGTATCATGTATGTATGAAATGATGTATGAAATGATGTATGATGAAATGATATGTATTATGTATAAATGTATGTTTTCTTGATCTGTGAAAGAATGACTTCAAAGGTGATCTTCATCAACGTGCATTCTTGAAATGATAAGGTTGGCTTTCTTTACCTGAACTTGTATAGAAATCCAATAAAGCTTTCATCTTTGAAAGGAGAACCTATCATCTTTGCAAAAGCATTGTTTGTTCTGATTTGACTCTTGAAACACATCACAATGAGGATTTATCCTAATTCCTTTCATGTCTCCACATCTAATTGGATCTCGAATAAGGCTATTTGTACTATATCATGTTGAGACATTTAAGGAACAACCCATCGTTCAATCTTAGTTGGCTCCACTAGTTTTTTGAAAATTTTAATGCCCTTTTTCCATGGAAAGCAATCTTCATCATTTCTCTTTTTTACCCCTTGGAGTTGTAGCAGACAACCTTCATCTTGGGTCAACAAATGGGAATACCATATGATTGCAACATTGGTTCAGCACTATAGTTACTGGTTCGTAGAACATTTGACAACATATTCATTTTTTCCTGTGGCTTGTGCCTAATTTTCTCAACCAGAGAACTTTTTAAAGGATGATATGGGCTTTCAGCATGCCACAGCGTTTGCTTCTTGTTGATATGAGCCTTTTAAAATGCCCCTCATGAATCATTTCTAACTGATTAGAATGGGCCTTCAAAATGCCCCACATTGCATTTCTGGTTGGAATGGGCCTTCAAAATGCCCCAACATTCCAAGTTGTAAGGCTCATTATCAATGTCAATTGGATTTGAATCTCATAATCCCCACGAGGTCCAACTTTGATAATGTCCCATTGTGGGCACTCCTGGCTCTATTCGTGCCCAAATCTCTTAATCTTGAATGCTCTCATTTTGTTGTTTCTAAATAGCAATGTTATCAAATAACTTGAGAGATTCTCTTCATGTTGTCACAAACTTAAGAAGTGATCAATCATTCTGACAGAAATGTTTAAGATATGTGTCTCTTTCTGATGAGGCGATCATCTTCTTCTTGACGGGTTGTCACAAATGGAATGTTATAAGTCTAATTCTTCAGACTTTTTGGTCTCTTGGGCCACTTGATTTTAAGAATGTGAAATGCTTCATCATTCTTGCCTTGCGTATTCTTTTTCTCCAATAGAGATTAAATAGGCATCAACTTGATTCAAGATCCTTTCTCATTTGAGACTGTATTGTTTGAAAATGTTTTTCCTCTTTTCTTTATAAATGATAGAATTTTGTAAAATATTGCCCCTTACATATTCACAATATAATCAAATCATAAGCATGAGTTCAAAGAATATCAAAAGAATCAAAAACTCTTTAATGTTTTAGAGTTATAGTTCTTTGACAGGTATCAAAATTTAGGGATTAGTTTCAGGTTTGATTTCCTATTTTCTATGGTTACATCTTATTGAAGATGTCACTCCTCTCTCGCTCTTTGTGAACATTGCCACATGCCTCACTTTCTTGACTTGGTATTTTAACCGGATACGGACAAAATGACGCAACTAGAACATCCAGTTACTAGACTTTTCTAAAATACCTCTATTTCAGTTCTCTGAAATCTTCGATTCAACCAAAGCAGTGCGAAAATATCGGTCTAAAAATGAAATTTTTGTGTGCACGTGTGAGGTTAACTATAACAGGTGTTTCTTCCCTTACAACAACTTCTTATATAGTAACCTATTATCTTTTTGGATAGCTGAATTCAACTTTATTGAAATTAGCCTTCATTGGGCTAGTTAAAACTTATCCATAAAGCCAGGGCTATTAACCAATTGCTCTAGAGAGACAACTTTATATATAATAATATAATAGGCTAGCTAAATATTATCCATAAAGCTGGGCCGATTAACCAATTGTTCTAGAGGGACAACTCAAGCTTTATTGAACATAATAATATAACATGGGTATACAACTCCAACTTCTTAAGCTTGTTAAGAAGAACCTGTTATAGCCTAGGTGTTTTGGTGGAAGTCAGAAAATCTCATCGTTAGAGTTCAATTTCCAAGAAAATGACTTTACCTATTTGTGAAGATTTCATCATCGAACATCATTAATAAAAGAGTAATCTAGTTGGTTTCGCAATGTTACACAAAAGATGCCCCATGTTGTACGCTCCTATATATAAATACCAAGCCTTTTGTCTAATTCCTTACAATAGGATAAATTTCTCTCATATTTGTAAGAGGGTACAATGTTTGGGTGTATTTCATCTGAGGTAAGGTCAATGTCCTTGTTTTACCAGTTTTCAATCTTGATACTCTGTCAAAGATGTATACCTCTACTCATAAAGAGTTTTTAATCCATTTGATATTCGAATAACTACAATATTGCAAAATTGATTCAATTCTCATAACCTTAAAAGCAACCCAAATTTATTATATAACCTTACAATAAGGCTTAAAAAATACAGAAAAACATATTCAAACAAGATGCTGAAAATGAAAAGTACAACTGTGGTATATAACAACCTCTACTTATTTATCTAACATGCCTCATTACTCCTAGAATATAGGGTGTATAATTGGACCAGAGTCTTTGTCCTCATTTGCCCCTCAGTTTCTTTCTTACAGTCATCTAATATTCCAAATTGAAACAATCTTTCTTAGTGATGAAAAAATTGGATTAACCGATCCCTGTGTCATTTGGCAATGGGTTTTGGCTATTCATTGACAGGGTTTTGCATAGATGATCCAGTGTCCTGAGGTTGAGATATCGTGATGTTATTGGATTCGTATTTCCTAACTTCATTGACTTTACTTTCCTTTTTTTCATTGGTGGTTTCTTGCTAGATTCATCACTATCAAGTTTCCTACTCTTAACTGTCATTTTAATCATCTCACCAGCTGTGACTATTTCAGCTAAACTCTTAAAGGAATTCCCTATGAGGTGAGTAAAGAAAGGATTTTTTAAAGTGTTTACAAAAAGAACATTTGTCTCATCTTCTTCCATGGGCGGATGTACTTGTACAGATATGTCCCTCCATCTCTGGGCATATAGTCTGAAATTCTCGTTGGATTTCTTTTCCATATTCTGCAGCACCAGTTGATTGGGCCTTATATCTTTTACATGCTTATATTGTTCAAGAAAATATTTTTCCAAATCTTTCCAAGATTTAATATGATCCTTACTCAATTGGTTATACCATATCATGGTCGAACTTGTTAAGATTTCTTGGAAGCAATGAATCAATAGTTTGTCATCCCCTATATAACCTATCATTTTTCTGCAAAACATTGTGATATGAGCATAGGGGTATTTCGTGCGATCGAATTTTTCAAAATCAGGCTTCCTGAATTTATGAGGTAACACCAAATCAGACACCAAACTCAATTCTTTAGCCTCAATTCCATACATGCTAAGGCCCTCCTTCATAGTCCTAATTTCCTCTTCTAGTTGTTCCCATTTTTATCATCTTGTTTATTTGACTCTTTCTTGCCTTCTTGATCAAAATTTGGAACATCTTCATCTTGTTGTTGGTTTGTAGAGGCACTAGGTAAGTTTATGTTTACTCTTCACGACTGAGTAACCATTCCTTGTTGGATTTTAACATGAGGTGGTGTAAAACCTGGGGGATACAGAGGTTCTTCAATAATACCAATAATTGGAGCTTTTTCACGATTTGCTTGCGGTGTAAAACCTGGAGGGTACAGAGGTTCTTCAGTGGTAATACTGACAACTGGAGTATTTTCTTGTTCCATGCTTCTTCCTTGTAACATGCTTGCAATTTTTTCAATCAGATCATTTTAGGATTTCAGTATTTGTTCATGCATTTCTTCTTGAACTTTCTTGAAGTTCTCTTGTATTTCAAGCTGAGCTCTTTCGATTTGGGCGATTTTATCATCCATTACCTTTTTTCTGGACTATATGGATGCTTAAAGGTGTCTAGTATTCTACGAAAAAACAAAAAACCCCTTTTAATAAATATGGATGTTTTATTAATGAATATGCTAAATATGACTAAAATGCAATGTAAAAAATCATATGCATATGTAAGATGCAAAATGCAAGGTGTTAACATTGGAATGATTCCTTAGAACAACTTTTATACTAAAACGAAGTTTTAAACATATTACAGATACATCTGCATTATTTTCTACTTCATGTAGGACTCTTCGTTCCATGTTTCTAGCCTTCTATATGAACATTAATCATGAATCAACACCATGGTATGAAAAATATAATGCATAATGAAAATGATAAAAAAGCAAACAAATGAAAATTAGGTAGTAATATCATAAAAATCCTAACCTTATGCAATTTAGTTCCATGCTTTATTTGGAGAAATAAACCTAACAGTATGATTTCTAGTTCACATGCATTTATTAGGAAAATAAAGCAATACTAAGTAAATTAAGACTCAACATGTTTTTCCTTGTGTGCTAACCTTACGAGACTCTCTTTGGGTTAGGCTTTGTCTAAACTCAAGTTCTAGGTTTATTATATGCTAGGTTCTGGCTCTAAGGTAAAAAAGGGTCAACGAATTGTCCTTTGTTGGTACCCCCTTGGACTACCAAGGCCTCAATCCTAGTCCATTACAGACTTTCAGATTGAGTTCAATTCGAAGGAACATACTTCCTTACGTCCATACGGAGGTGAAAACCACACGAGGAACATAAGGTGTGAGCTCAAGGAATGGTCCCCTATCCCATATGGAGGTGAAAACCACGCGATGGAGTAGTTTCTCATTCAAGTTAAATGGTATAGAGTGGGGATTTAGCTCATGTCATGAATGCAGTGCACAGTGTGTGAGGAAAAATATAAAAACAAAAAATAATTCACAACACACAAAATTATTCTTTAAATTTAAAGACACAATTAAATCTGAAACATTAACAAACATGTAACATCCTGAAATTCAGGATCAGTGACTAAATTTCAAGTTTTGAAAACTATGTGCTTGGTTTCGAAATAAGTTAAAAGTTCATGGATTTAATTAAAGATATTTGATGTTGGATTTAATAGTAAAGTTAGAAAGTAACAAGGGTATTATGGTCTTTTCTAAGAGAAGATTTTTATTCTCTCTTTTTAAGGAATATAAAAACGTGGGAAATGAGGAAAATCTATCCAGAGTCTTCTTCTTCAGCTTCTTCTTCTCCCCATAAGTCTCAGTTAAAGGTGAGTTTAATTTCAGCTGTTTAATTCTTGGATTTATAAGTTGATTTTTATTCTTTGAGTATTATATAAGCTTAAGGAAAGCTTATATAAGCTTTAAACATCAAGAATAAAGAATTAAAAAGGAAATTATATGAAGGGTGTAGAAATAAACTTTTGTTATAGAAAGGTTTTTGAAGTTCTAAATATGGATTTGACTTTTCAAATGATTAATTAAGAAGTTAGAAGCCATAGAATTGGAATTAAAACATGTTGCAAAGTTGGTATAATTCTTGAGTTACATATGAGGAATAGAATTTTGAAGTTAAAGATGATTTATATGGAGATAAATTGGTTTAAGCATGTGTATATGAGTTATAAACATGAAAGTGGATGAAAGATGAAGCATTTGAGTTGATTTTAGTGGATTTTCGGGCTTAAAAATGAATTCTGGGCTATGTGCATCGATGCACGTTCAATGTGTACTGATGCATCAAGGGTATTTCTAGAAATTATTAAGTGTGTATCGATGCACCCATTAAAAATAGAAACATCGAATGCAATTAGTGCATCGATGCATAAGGAGTGCATCGATGCACATGTAAAGGGATACATCGATGCACATGTAAAGGGATGCATAGATACACTGTAGAATGCATCGATGCACTTCAAGGGTAAATATAAATAAACCTTTCTTTTGGTCTAAGAAATGATAGATTAGAGTATATTAATTAGATACTAGTATGCATCAATGTATGATTATGTAGATATCGAACACGAACAAGTTTCGGTATGATCATCAAGTTAAGATTCGATCGAAAGAAAAGAAATCATAAAAGGGGATCGAAAACTTAATGAGGCCAAGGTGAGTGCATATTAGATAGTGTGTTATGTTTAATGGAAATAAGACTTGCGACAAGTCTATTTCCTATAGTAGAATGCATGAACTCATTAGTATGAGCATATGTTTGACATGATACACGTGTGTTATTGATTATTGCATATGTGTGAATACAAGTTTATATGATACATGATAAATGTATATAGTATATGTGAACACAGGATGATATGAAAAGGGATATAAGAGTATTATGTGATTTATAAGAAACATATGTGAACAATAAATAGCAATGATATACATGTTATATGAACACAAGAGAACTTTTATAAGATAAGTGATATATGAATATGAAATCATATGAACAGTGATATGTACATGTGAATATGTGACATACAGTTGACATGCCAAGAGTCGAGGGTTCATAGGTCTTTCGGGACATACAATGGTCATTCGGGATATTTCATAGTGGTCATTCGGGACAAATTCATAGCCTCTATTGGGA